TATTAATATACCTACACTTTTTCCCATTTTCAAAAACTTTAATACATTTTGTGATAATGATTGTTTACCATTCAAAGATATTATTTGTCACGGTTTTTTTAACCGTAAATATACGTATGACTATAAGACCATATGTGATAGTTTGAACACTGCACTGAGCACCGTGTCTACATAAACAGTTTAAGCAATATTTTGAACATCCGGCAATGACGGAACGGGTTCTTGGCCCAATACCAAACAAGTAAACTCTTATTTATTGATTGTTTCAATAATAAATAATTTTGATTTATACATTTCGGTAGAATGATCAGTAGAACCAAGTACTTTTATCGCGGTAGGGTAGACTGTACCGCGACTAGTAAGGCTGTAGGTACTCCATGTAAAAGAAAATTGTAAATCCCTTAAAGGTTAGTAAAATAAATTACATGTAATAAACTTAAGTAATTAAAAAATGTTTATGTCATTTTTAAAGATACATGAAGAGAAAAAATCCACAAACAATATTATTTGAATTGATTTTAGATCTTCTACGATTTGAGCCATCTCAAAGGATGGAAATGTACGTTAGTGCATACGTTTTATTACAAGCTGACTGAAGATAAAAAATTACTAGACCACGGGCGTGCACCGTGCATTTGCCTCCCCCCCAATCGCTGCAGTTTTCCTTTGTTTTACACTATGTTCACCAATTTTTGTAATTATTGTACTTTTGCCCCCAACCCCCCCCCCCCCCCACAAAAAAAAATTAAGCCCCCGATCCACCACTGGGGGATCTGTACTTCTCCGGGGGAAATAACGTCAAAAATCCAGTCGTCGGACCGGGAATCGAACCCCGGCGATGACTTTACCACTGAGCTACCGGATAGGACACTCCAATGATGATAATATCTTGATATTATATTATATTATATTATATGATGATAATATCTTCCTCACTTGACATTATAGTACTTACAAGAATTTTTTATAAACTACCAGTTGACCAAATATTTCATGACACGAGGTTTTTTTTTTAGCCATTCAGGCCTTTCAAAACCGTTGTCCCCCTCTATTGAAAACTGAAATGACGCCACTGCAGAAAAAGGACCATATTCACGGTCCTGATGTGTTAACACTATAAACATGCACCTCTGGCTTGACCGTTTATTTATTATTTCTAATATTTTTTTATCCTTACTAATTGTTTTTTAATTGCCTAAGAGAAGTAACTAGGATAAAATAACGATAGATACATAAATTGTATATAGTTATTTTTGTAATCATTCACATTAAGTATGTTAGACTATAATTTTTTTAAATTATAATTTTCTTAATTCAGTAGGTTGAACAAAATTTTTCAAAAATATTGCTTACTGCACATAACGTCTTATAAGTTGATACCTACGTACAGTAGAAAGGTGTGAATAAGTTCGTAGTATAGCTATAAATAGCTTAAAATTAGAAAGTCTAAATATTTAATGTAAATTGTGCATAGAAAATGATAATAAAAGTAATAGTGGAATGTTTCAACTTTCAAGTTGTTTACTATGTTTTTTCATCATTTTTTAGCTGCTGTAAAAACAACTCACGAGAAACCCTTGTCATTAAATCCTCATACTTTTTGGCTAAAAACAAAAGTATTATTTTTACATAAATCGACTAAAGGTGCTATTTACAAGGCTAAACTATATTTTATTAGATACTTATGTGTATTTATAATTAAATACTATTAACATACATTTTCTATAATTCTACAATGCAATACAATTTTATAACTTTACTACTGTGATATATATATTAGGTAATTGTTATTGATTATAGTTAATATGAGAAAAGCTTTTAAACAAAATAGGTACCTAATACACATTTTTATTTCTATTTTGCATTGTTTGTGCGAGTGGGAGTGCTAAGAAAATATATTGAACACTGTTAAATAGAATTAACCACCAACGAGTTTCCGGCAACGAGAATGAAAATTGTTTCTTCGTAAACTCCGTACCGGAATAAACATCACGTTCGGGCTAATGAACGCTCTTAATGATAACACTAAAACCGTATATTATTATAGTTCATTGGTGAAGTTTTTAATGAGAAAATATTCGATGTGGTCCCAGAGGTATCAATTTTTGCACGAATAAAAAAAAAAAAACTTAATAACTTATACATTTTCGATACCTATATAATGATAGTTACAAGGAGAAGCGATCTTTGAAAGGATATAGGTAAAATGTGTGTATAAAATAATGTTTTTAGGTACATATTATGTAAATTTAAGATTATAGACAATCAGCATTATAATAATGTTATTTTAATTTGTACAGATGTTAGATATTTCCCACTCTTTTGTCAAATCGTTTTATAGACTTCAAAAAGACAAATATTAACCAATATCAACCATAAAATCTAATAATATAGGTAATATTATATATTATATAAATATACAAATCAGTGGCTGATAAACTTTTACCGAACTTTTTGAGCGACCATCATAGACCATAAAAATAATTTCTTAATTTTCTTAACATTTCGGGGGGGGGGGGGGGGACTGCAGCCTCAAAGACCTAGTATATTATATTAATATACAGTCCTTTTAGATATTATAAAAATACATATAAATATTATATAGTCCTATAAATCTTCATAAATTATTACTGTGTAGTGTGTACCGTACCTATATTAAGATAATTATTATATTATTTTAGATTTTTAGTTCAAATCGGGCGCATATGAACTAATATTAGGGGGCAGTGGCGTGTAATATAGGGTCCAAGTGTTGCTCAGGCAACACCTTAAATATGGGTGGGTAGGTATTTACTATTTATAGAAGAAAAATAGGACATTTTATAGGTCGGTATAACAATATTATGTGGGGCAAGTCACCTAAAATTATTTGAGAAACATCAATTTTTTTTATGATACATGCCACTGATTAGGGGTGAAAATGGGCTACGATAAATGATTTCAGGCTCAAAACGGTTGTACCGGTTATAATAATATTATAGCATATGATTACTGATTAGGTACTATTCAGTTTCGTGGGAAATGTGAATCATATAATTTTATGCATAATTCACGTCGGGTATATGGTCGAAAAATAAAGTAACCAATTCATATAACTATATTATCTTTAAAAAAAAAAATACTTGGGCAAATACATTATTCATTAATTATACAAAAATAATACTAGGAATGTTTTTTTAATAAATCATTTGTCTTTTGAAACTTTGTAAGAAATGTGAATAAATATCATGTTTAAAACATACACTAAAACGCTCAAACATATTGTACATTTTTATAATGTGTAAAAAATCAATACCATAATTATATGAACTAAAATTATCTTCGAACCACAAGTTTTTTTTAATACAGTTTAGCAATAATGTAGATGCTGTTATTAAAATAGCCTTTATTTTAATGTATATAAAAAGTTATAATATAAAAAAAAATACATTTTTGGAATTTATCATAACACTATTTGTTGGTTGTATAAAATTTATTAAATAGTTTTAAAGTTAACTAAGGACTAAGGAGACTAGGGGTTTATAATATTCTCACAGTAAGATACCTAAACTTAAGTCATATATATTATTCTTTGAATCTTTAAACAACTAATCTTGTGAAAATCTTTGAGTATAAATTGTACAAAATAATATAGTAATAGTAATTACTATCCAAATTAACCAAGTTAATAAACGACAATGAAAAATATTCTAGTACTTGTACTATTATAATTTTAACATTTAAAAACAAATATGAAAAAAATAATTAAAATAATTATATAATATTTTTTTAACGGGTTATGGAAGTAATTAATTTAGAATAGAGAAAATATGGTTATGTGAATAATGTAAATTATAGAAGATAAAACACATACATATTGCAACTGTACATCGTAGGACCTAAATAGTGTAGGCATAGGTAGATCCCCCAGCTAAATAGAAATATGTTTATTGAATACCAATATACATTTTCTTTAGTGAGGAAAATAGAATAAAATATATAGATCGTATAAAATATAAACATTTATTAGTCACAAAAATATTTTAAAGTAATTATCACCAAACAATAGGTACGTATGAAAAAATCATGCTTAATAATTATAAGTTGTAAATTTTTTTTTTTTTAATGATAATTTCACAATTTATTTTTAGTAATTTTAAACAGCTATTTTATTTTATTTGTGTAATAGTTTCTTTATTTTTTTTTTATTTGGAGTATTATACTCGTGTTAACACCAATTCGACTAGTTCCAGAGAAGAATACGCGTACATATTACTAAAACTTATAGTATAATTATTACCTAATATAATTCACCACATAAATTTAAATTAAATCATGAAAAACGCATTCGTAATTGATTATATATAAGTATTAATAAATAATGGTTTCAAACACAATTTTTAACAATAAATCTTAGTTTTAGATATAATTTTTAATAATGTGTAATGATAATAATACCTATAACCTAGTGCAAATTATCTAATAAAGTAATTTATAATAAATATGATTTTAATAAATATTTTAAGCAAATTATTAAATGCAATATATATTTATAATACATTTTATAACTAAAAATTAATCTTCCGAAATTAAATATCAAGACTCAATTCTTATCAAAATTGGATCACGTGGTGTTATATTAAGTAATTAATAAAATATTAATGATTCTTTTGTACTATTTTAATTATTGACTTCCTTAAATATACACTAACTTGAACTAGTAACTTTTAACATTATTTTTTGTATGCTATGATCATAGTATTATATATACATATTACATACATAATAAATATATTGTGCAATATTTAATAGTTTATTTTTTTTAATAGATATCTAAAGTGATTAGAATTTTCATCTTTTTTCATAATTTTCATATTACTACAAATTAATAGCAATTCATAGCAATAAAAAATAATAATTTGTTAATTTTATTTGATTTTACATTATATATGTATATTATACATAAAAATTTTAATTTAAAAATAAATAAAATTTTACATATTTGTTATAGATATGCTTTGTTATTTTTCAATTTCAGGATCTGGAGCATTTTTAGCATAACCAAGTTTTTGTAACACCTGTTTGATATCCAAATATACTGAAGGATCTTCTATCGTACCTGATATCTGAAACAATATGTAGATAAAAATATATAATTTAGATTATAGGTATGTACATTACAATTTGTAGACGGTGACTACATGGTTATTATAACATCAACATCCTATTTACGACTTGGGGAACTTTTTTGATAGTAATTCGTTAGTATTATATTACGTTATTGTAGCTGTTATTATATTATTAAAAATTAAAATCCCAAAAGTCGTGAAAAAATGTTTGAATGTTATATTGTTATTCATACATTTTTATTTTTAAAATAATTAGGAATAAACTTGTTTTCATATATTTGACATTATTCATATTATATAATGTTATAGATATAGTTATAGAGATATAGTTCGATATCTGACATTGATTATATTTTGTCTAATACCCATTATTAAGTGAAGTGCTTTAGGTTTCAGATACTTTCATGTTTAATGAAATTGAATAAAAAAAAAAACAATTGAATTGTATCGAGTAATACAATTTAAGTTTTTCATATTTTATCAACATTTCTAAGTTCATATTGATATAAGATATCATAATAATATAATATTATATATTACTATAATAGTATAGTAGGTAAGTACTGAGTACTGATGACATAATACTATTTATTAAATGTATTAAATCATTGACTTACAATCACTTTTTTTCCACTTGCTAAATTCGATAACGATTTCCTAGCTGTTTTTCCCGATCGCGTTCTGGGCAAACCTTGCACAGGTGCACACAAATGGAAAGACGCAATCGGTCCAATTAAATCTCGAACGTTTTGTACGATTTCGTCGTTGATGTCTTCTTCTTTTTTACTGCAATCTAATTTCAATACGTTTAACTTATACACTTTAAAAATGTCCAACAAAAATGATTGACCAACTTTTGTTTTTAATGTAAAGACATAGAGGTATTTCTCCTTTCGTAGTCTCCGGGACGCCGAATACGGCTGCATCTCCAACGTCCGGATGAGAAAGAATTACGTCTTCTAATGCAGATGTCGACAGCCGATGTCCAGCCACATTGATGACATCGTCGTCTCTGGCTGTGACGTATATATAACCGTTTTCATCGGTGTAGCCAGCGTCCATCGTATCGTAATAACCCTAATGAAATATTTCACAGTATCAGTCATACGTTATGTTGGATTAAAATTCGTATAATTTTACCTTAAAGTTGTTGAAGTATGTATGGAGAAATCGTTCGGGGGCTTTGTACAAGCACGACATGACTCCTGGTGGTAACGGGAGTTTGACCACGATTCGGCCCAATTCCAATAGCTGACACGGACTACCGTCTTCTTTTAAAATTCTCACTGAAATAATAAATTCACTTTGGTCATTCGTTTTTCTGTACAAGTAGTTTAATTTTCTGCATTTGTATTTGTACATTTTATCAAAATCAAAAATTATTCTGTTTCACATAATTTCAGTAAATTTGTATAAAATTTAATTGTATTTAATTTTTATTTAAATTGTATCACTTGACCAACTATATTCTTAAAAGTTACCATCATATCCGGGAAACGGCTTTCCGGCAGAAAACATAGGAGGTTTTAGGTTATGTCCAAATCCCAGGCAAGTAGCCGTAATTGAATGACCAGTTTCAGTTTGCCACCAGTGATTCAAAACAGGTACCTAATTAAATAAATAGAAGTAAAAAATTGTATTTGGCAACTTAAATGCATAATATATAATATAGGTATGTATTTACAGAGTGTAACAGCAAGAACTGACTTTTGGAATAACTTTTGTTCTAATTAATATTATAATTTTTTTTATATATATATATATATATACCTATAATTTATAGCCACTTGCGCTACACGTGAAATAAAAGAAAATATTTTTATTTTTTATTACTGAAAATAAAAAAATTTAAATTTGATCAAAATTTTTTTGAATATATTCAAAATAGCGAATTTGTGAATCTGATTATAAGAACGATTTGGATGGTAAAAACATTTATCTAAGTCAAGTAGTTAATTTTTTTAGAATTTTTTAAAATAACTTTTTTTTTTTGATTAAATTAATTTGGAACGCAATAAGTTAATAACTTTTTTAAAAATATTATTTTTTTATATTTGCTAACATGGGTATATTTCTTAAACTACCTATTTACTTATCATATAATTTTATCAATTTTTGTCATACATTTAAGTAGCATCGATTTTTTTTTTTTTTTTGGTCAGTTCTTTCTGTTACACCTTGTATATTTATATGTATATATAAATATAATATATATGTATGTATAGTTTCAATGTTTCATAGATAAAATTTGTTTTAAACTTACATTCAGGACTTTTCCAGCCCAAGACAATGTTTCATGATCACAATGTTCTCCAGCCACAAATAGAGTTCTTAGCCTGGAATAAAATATTATATTGTAAGTCATAAACTCATATTATATCATATTATATTATAACTTACGATTTAGTGTTATATTTACTACCAAACTCCAAAACTGGGTCTTCTCTTCTGATGACCCTTAAAGCAGTTGGTGCCGTGAACAATCCATTCACTTTATGGTCTTGGATTACTCTAAGATAAAAAAATTTCAAATTACACGTATTATACGTATCTTACATGCAAATTGTATGTAATAAAAATAGGATTAATAATATAGTAGTATGATAATAATAATCATATGAGTTTTCTAACTTATAGGTAACAATGAATCAGTGCCGTAGACAGTAATTTAATATTGGGTGGGAGGTTATCATAATAAAATATAAATACATTTATATACTTTCCATGTTGTAAGGGGGGTTTAAAACCCCCCAGTGTCTACGGCCCTGCAATGAGTTAATTGCAATTCTAAGAATTATTTCCGGAATAACATTAGTTCATATTTCATAATATAAGCGCATGCAATTAATAAAACACATAAAGTATTTATGATATTAGGTGTTTCGTTTATTATTAGATAATATACAGTAATAATTTTGTTTGTGTATCCAAACTAGTTTAAATTATCTATAAAATCAAACACCATTTACCTAAAATATTGTCCAGGATCAGGTGTCCTATCCGGTTTACCTTCATACATAACTGATGTGATTCCAGCGCAAAGCGGACCATAACATATGTATGAATGTCCTACTACCCAGCCCATGTCGGATGCAGTCCACCAAACATCATCTTCTGTCATACCATAAATGCAGCTCATTGTCCAGCATAATGTTGCAATATGTCCACCAGTTGGTCTAACGATTCCTTTAGGTTTATCTAAGAGATCAATTGTATTTTAAGTATTATACTAAAAATAACTTAAAATATTACAATAATGTGATGACATAGAAACAAGTGTCAAAAAAATCATAGACCATTTTATTCAAGTAACCAATGATGTTTTCACCTACTGTTATAAGGGTAGGTACTAGGTATACCTGCATATAGATAAGATATAATATATATATATTCAAATGTAATTTAGACGAAATTATCAATGTTTTAATCAATTAGTATCTATTATATAGTCTATGTGCGTTGGTAATAATCTAAATCAGTAATATGATTAGTTTTGGAAAATTACTGCTCAACATTTTAAAAGCTAAACAATACGCAATGCAAATAATGAAATTTGCTATTTATTATTAAGAAAAAATTTGTTTTAAACTAAAAAAATGTTTACAATAACTTAATATATCTATTTTTAAATAATGTATTTTATTATTTCAATAACAATTATCTACATTGTTTAGAAAATAATATAATGTACGTACCCGTAGTGCCTGATGTATACAGTATATAAAGAGGATGATTTGCTTCCACGGGCACACATGGGTGATGTTTAGCTGTCGACAATGCATCGGACCAAAGTATATCAATTCCTGGAGTTAATGGAGAAGGTTCCATGTTTGGTCTTTGGTATATAATACAATGTTTAGGTTTTTCTGTTACCCGGTCAAGAGCAGTGTTTAGAATATCTTTGTACCTAGATAAGACAACACGAACAATTATTGTTTTTCTTTCATTTTCCTTAGTACCTAGTAAATTTTTTTTTTTTCAAATACCTTACTATTTTGTTCGGTTCGATCCCACAATTAGCTGCTATTATAACCTTAGGAGTAGCATGGTTGATACGTGCACAAAGTTCACGAGCTGCAAATCCTGAGAAATATAATGCATTCCATAATAATAACTATAGGTATGTATTAAATGCACGTACTCTATTAAAATTAATTGTTCCGAAATTTCCTATAAGTTCACCTAATAAGTTTTTATACAAGTTTTGAGTCAAAATAAATAAATAAATTGTATTTAAATATGTAACTGTGATGATCAAACAGTAGAGAATACAAAGGTACCTAACCTAACCTGACTTCATATTTATTTTATAAGAATATTACTTTTATATTTGTGATTTATCAGACCTATTTAAGCTTTTGTTGATATTACAACTAATAGATACGAAGTTACGTTTTCTTTAAAATTACCTTTAAGGCTTTAACTATAAATTGTCAGATATGTCACTAAAAAATATTTTCCAAATTCTTTCGATCGGGATTCTGAATGTTTACCACTACTCAGTATCTCAATAGGCAGTATGTATAATATTTTGTACAGATTGTTATAATATTCATAAGAGAAAAATATATTAGGTACATACATAAGATTTTTAATTATTTTTATATATTCTTACCCATACAATTTATCGGTATACGTAATACTTAGGTAGTTATAGGTATAGGTACACTAGCCTTAATATTATTGTTTTAAGCAATATTAGATTATCATAGTTTATCTTACCTCCGAAAACCACAGAATGAACGGCTCCAATGCGAACAACAGCCAACATTGAAATGATAGCTTCGGGTATAAGAGGCATATAAATCAAAATACGATCACCTTTTACTACACCAAGATTTATTAAGGCACCAGCTAACAATGATACCTTCAAATAAAACAAAAAAATATTTTATATTTATACCTACAGTTTGTTTTTATCTTTTAGTACAAACTTTTTCATATAGATCATCGTAAGTAATTTTTGTCACTGATTCGGTCACAGGGCTATCATGGATTAAGGCGACTTTTTTACCCTTGCCTGCCTTGATATGCCGATCGACTGCATTGTAACATGCATTTATTTCTCCCCCGACAAACCTGAAATTGATAGAAAATATTAGCTTTTACTTTAATTCATTTAGATAATATCGTTGAATTAATCCACCTAACGCTTAATTTAAAACCAGTAAAAAAGGACTATATAGATATATTTATACATGTGATGGGGGAAGGTGTGACGGTGTGCCCAGTGGGATATGGCTACAGTCAGGCGTATACTTTGTTGCTTCCCGAAGTTAAAAAGATCGATAATTGTATACGAATTTCCTCCAGACTATAAACGAGTTACCTCCCGACGCACCTTAAATGAAAATGGTCTAGTAGGTTCTATTACAGCTGCAATGGCAGGTAATAAACGTATAGGTAAGTATTTTATAGTACTTACCTAATGATACTAATTTATATCGATTGTAAACGAATCAAAAATGTTATAAATATATTTTTATTTTGTAATTATTATAATAGTTAGGTACTATAATATACTCTATTTATAATTTTAATTATATTACCAAATGTTTTTTTTTCACTGACCAATTATTTATTATTTTTAATTATAGTTATGTATTAATGTATACAATATACATTTTTATAATATAGATATACCTAAGGGCTAAGATTGATATTTTTAAATTGTACTACGTAGTTCTAAATATCTAAAAAAAATATATTGAACAATTAGGTACATTATTGCCAGTAATTTCAGATTTCAGTATGAAGTTCCTAGACTTAAAATACAATTACGATTTTTAATATAATAAAACAGAAAAATATCTATATACGTTATACCTATAAGACTAATGTTTATCATTTTAGTGTACGTAATATAGTTCTAAGGTAACGTTATCACCCTACTGTGTTAGTTTAATTTTTTATATTTTATACTCTACATACCTACTTTAGTTTTAAGATTAATTTTAACATAAATAAATATTATATTAAATATATTATGTCGCTATAACTTAACTTTTTATAATTATTACACAATATATTATAGGTACCTACATAAATTCATCTATTTCCTTAGTATATTTTAATGAAGTTTATGAACCACCACTTAACTTAACTCTATACGGGAGGCAACTATAGTGTGAACATTTTTGAGAGACAACTTGTATTTAATTACGAACTACCTTATCATCATACAGGCAAATAGGCAACTACTGTATATTAATTATTAACCTTTTTATTAACAATAAGGATAGGCGGCAATTCTTATATTTTAGGAGGCAAATATAATAATAGTTTGCGTCGCTACAGTGTTCAGTGATGTTAAACGCCGTCGACTACAAAAATACAAACTAATCGCCAGCTGTTTCCTGGTGCAGAAGAAAGGAAAACTGTACCACTTACTCATCCATAGTAACACAACGGTCAAATATTTTTTTAGAGAAATTCACTGTAATGACCTCTGTTTTTTATTGACAATAATAGCTGAGGAAATGTCATTGAACTAATTTTTTAAATAAATCAACGCATGTTAAATATGATTTTCAGCTGTTATTTTTCTTATATACCCTGTAGGTACTACAAATAGCTCGAAATATATTATGCTTAACAAGTAATGTACACTATATAGTAGGTAGGTATATTATTCAACATAGTACAAATAATGTACTTATATAGGATAGGTACCTAATACTGTTGGCTGTGTAAACTGTAAATATGACATGCGTGTACTGTCTATAAAGTTATTATCCCATAATAACTAATATAATTATATTGTAAACGTTTAGCTTTATAGCTACAGCGCCTACAGCTCATAAACTGAAATGTTACAAAATATAATAAATATTTCTAATCAAATTTATGGAGTAATTTCTAAGTAAATATTGTGATCATACCTAGTATCCATATCACGGAAACTTATTATTAAGATCTATGACGGCAGTACGAGTGTACGACACAAGGCTTTCAGGTTTTTTAGAAAAAATTCACGACTCAGTAATTACACATAAGGCTACTTTAGCAGTTAGCTGATATATAAATACTAGGAATTTTTTTTCGAATGCGTTGATTTATCATCGATTTCCAGTTTAATGTTACATCACATAATATAGGTCCTTCGCTGGAATGACCGACGGGAGATTAGTGTAAGAGACCTAATTAGGAGTTATCCTGTAATATTTGTATTTTCTTATATAATAATTTGGTACCCACGTTATAGTTTTATAATTCATATTTATATATATTATTTTTTTTCTATTATTTAGACCCACGGAAACTATTTTGTGATATATATTGTATATCAAAAGTAAATGTATAAGGAAGCTGTTAAACTACGCAGACATGCAGTAGATACAATAGGTAATATTTGTAGATAGCATACGACACCAAAAAACTTTATATAATTATAACTTATAATTATAAACATTATAATAAATAATACGACACGTTACCAACTTGTTCGTGCCTTATAATCAGGCAAGATCAAAATAATTTAAACCTGATACCAAAACTCAAACGAATTTTAACTTGTAAAATGTTAACCCATTCTGATCTCTTACATAACAATTTACAATTTAAAATGAAAAAAAAATATATAAACTAAAGTAATTAAATATCTAAAAGTTTTTTTGAAGTAGGCACCTTATATGTAGAGTATTTATAATTTATGTGATTATGCAGAGTATAATAAGTGAAATTTTATATATTTACTACTGAATAAAACATTTATATTATTTCAGACGTAATATGAAATAATTTTCAAACGTAATAATTCTTTATCCCTTTATGTAAGTATTGAGTTTTTATAAATACCAATACTTAATAGATTGTTTGAATAAGCACAATAATGGAACTTCCATCATGGAAGTACCTATACCTAATAATTATTGTTTAATCTCCTACGATGTATAATCATTATTTGATAGAATATATTCATAAACATGAATCCTATCATCACTTTGTCACTTTGCCACTAGTGATTCTCAACCTTGGGAGTTGGGTCAACCCTCCAACCCTTGGGTATTTTCCAAAAATCCTGGGACGTCCTATAATAATAATTTGAGTTTTATAAAGTTTTTTTATTGAAGCTTCGTAAGTTAATATAACTATCTACTATAATTTGGAAAAAAATGACCAATTCGATTTCAAACACAAAATAATTATTTTATATATAGTTATAACTTATAACCAAAGTTTCTTTTACTGTTTATACATATAAATATATTATAATAAATACTTTCTGTTCTGGTGTATTAAATACAAAATAATTATAATATGGAATAAAATAATAGGTATACAATTATAATTAAGTACCTATTGAACAGTAAGTTGTTAACCTATAACAGATATTGTGTATTACACAAGATTACTTTATACTGAAATACTGTTATAAAACTATTTTTGTATTTTTTTTTTTTTGAAAACTTTAAAATATGTGTATAAAGTTTAGATTAAAAATGTGTTTGTATTCTCCATAACTTATCGTGGCATAGTATCGCACCTCAACCAAGCTAGCGGCAACCCGGTTGAGAATCACTGGTTTAGATAATAATGTTGTTATTTTAATTATGATTATATTATAGGTACTGTGTTTTTATAATATATTTTTATTTATACAAAACTATAAAACACTACTTAGTGATACCACTGATACCTATTTACCCATTATATATTATTATAATTATACGCCTATACATAATTTACTATACATATCATTTCGTAAAATAGAAATGTTGAATTATTTTTGTATGAAAAATACAGACAATAATAAGATAACAATCTTGCATTCAATCTAAAATCACATGAGAAAATAATTAAACTATTTTAATATTTACCAATCAGTTAGAGGTTGAGCACTATTGTCTAAAACTTTATCCCAGGGCTTGTACCAGTCGACAACGGCGCCGACTTCAGCCCAGAAACCTTCAGGGTCTTCTAAAGATCGACGGTATGCTTCTTCATAATTTTCAGTCTTATTCACTAAAATAACGATAAATAAATTGTACATTCTTAATATGAGAATAATATAGTGTTTAAAACAATAATATTGTAGTATAAACGAATAAGTTATTACCATTTTGATTTACAAGGAATGATTTGTTTCGATTTGGTACCATATTGTTGTCCACGTAATTATTGTAGGCTAAATTACCTAGTCGAAATATGAATAATAATAGAGAATCAAATGTGTAACGCTTATGAAAAAATAATTTTAAAATATATATACTAAACAATAAAAATAACAAAACACAGAAACAAAATGTAAGTTATTACTTCAACGTATAAAGAAATACGCGGAATTTATGACAAGAAAGACACTCCTGCCGGTAATTACCTACAGTTAATTTTCTTTATTACACCCACAACTGTTATTTAAAATAAATTATTAACATTAGAATTTAAAACAAATACATTGCAATTTAAAAAAAAATTTCGATACTAAAATGATTTGAAATGCGGTGTTTAAAGCTTTGGCAGTGCTGTTCGATTAACGACCTTTGTTTCGTTTAATTATTTATAATTATATGTAGATTAATTCAAATTTGTAATAGACGGTTAATGCCGTGTATCTAATTTCATTGATGAGTTAATATTTACATCCATTGTTTTTATCATTATGTAAAAGAATTAAAATAAGCAAAAAGACTTCAAAAATAATGTCAATATTACATTTATAAATACGTAAACTATTTGTATTAAATATGTTTAATGGTTCTTTTCCATTTACTAATTACGATTTTTTTAAGGGGAAAATGTGTTTGGTAGCAAAATTATTTTATCCTATATCAATACAATAGTATACATGTTTCTACTTAGTTTCACGTTTAGACCGTAATGATTTATTCGAAATAAATTGACTGGCAACAAAAATGACTATAGATTTTATATAATTTTACCTATTTTATATATTTTTACAGTAGGTATATATTTAATAATTTCATTTTTTTTTGATTTGTTTTTTTAATTAAGTCATAAAATCATGTTCTGAAGTTTTACCAAATGAACTCGTTGAAAAATTATACGTGTAATACAAATGGCCCCATTTGTAATTATAATTCAAACAATCAAACTCACATCCTGGTATTGTTTTTGCCCTATGACATACCTACCACCATATACAAAGTGTATTTTGTAATATATAGCTAAAAATAAAACATTTTTATAAAATAAATTCCTATATTCTTTGTTATTATTTGTTACTGTACTCAAGTCGAATAATACAATATATATATATATTATTTATTAATTATTAATTATGTAACGACAAAATGAATTGTTTCGTGTCCATGAGTTGTGCAGGATATTTTTGTTTCATTCTTTTGTGCAATTGTGAGTAGGTAGGTATGGAAAGTAATATCATGTACAAATATATATTATTTGAAGTCGCCTTTTTAGATTACTATTTGACGAAAATGTTATGTGAAGATAAAAAAAATTGTTCTGTTATGACGTGCGCTAGACTAAATATTACTGTACAAACGATTATGTTTTTTATGTATACATATTGGTAGGTGTTATAATTAATTCAAAATTGTTTTATCAATTCGCTGTAACAAACCCGATACTCTCAACTCCCATTTAGGTTCTTTTTAATGTTCTGTTATGCATTAAATATTTAAAATGTAAATCGATTATAAATTTCAATAAATTATAGAGGCACACCGTAGTTCCACAATTTAAATATATTATGTTGCTAGTTCCTAGGTGTTGAATTCTCAGAATAGATGTTAACAATTATTATTGTTATTCGAGTACATATTTTGTGCACCAGTGGCGAGCCGAGGCGCATTTCAAGTCTTGTTGCAAAATTACAAATGTAATATCTATAGACATCTACCATCAAATTTTTTTACATACCTACCTACGAAGACTTGTACAGGATTACTCTCCCCAATTAAAATCTTTAAATAATTGTATATTTACTAACTATATAATAATTAAATAGACCATTAGAACCAATTTTAACGTATAATAACAAATAAATACAAAATATTTTTATGAAGGGGAGTACTAAATGTATTTATTAGGTCCTGTATTCTAGAGTACAAGACCTATTTATACGTTTATACCATAGGTGGAAATGGGGGCCTTAAAAAAAAGTTATTGCAAAAGTATACAAATTTTGAAGTTTCGTTTTTATTTAATATGTTCTTAAGAAACAACAATTTATTTATTTTAATTATATATTTATGTGTTTAGAGAAGTCACTGTAATGGATGTGTTAGAACTTAGATTTGAATAATGATATAAAATCATTGTATATGAAGACAGCCGTATACTGAGAGAAGACAGCCTTAATATTACTTGGCTCATAAAAATTACTGTGGATTTACGCTTAACTTTATTTTAATTTCTACTTACAAAAACTTATGGGGAACCTTGTATTACATTTTCAAGTTTTTTGACCGGGTGAAAAAATGTTTACAGGCATTAATGGAAAAAAAACTAATAAAATCGAAAATTTCATAAGCCTATATAAATAAGCAACCTCAACATGAGTCAAACTATTTTGAACGGTGTACAGAAAATGAGGATTTTAGAATTAAAAACATTCAGTGAAAATGTCATGTATCTACGCCCTACGGTAATTTTTTCAGAGTTAGGTACACCAAAAACCAGAATAGCTTTTGTCAAAAACCGAATTTGATTTTTAAAATTCCCATTTTTCCTTAATTATTTTCCCCCGCACTAGGATTTATCCTCCTATATGCACCTAGATACTAGATTCACTATCCCGCTGGAATAGGTACCGAAGTTGAAAATCTAAGTATTATTTCGACAATTTATCGTGTACCCAGGCACAAAAAGAAAAAATTTAAAAAATGGGGGCGTTCACTTTAATGGATGGTGTTACATTTTTATATTGTTTTTCCCGGTGCTTTTGAAAACTACTTTAAATTTTTTACTTTTTACCCCCCAAAGTACCAACTAGATACACTTTCCTATCAGCAAAGATGTTGTTGAAGAAAATTTAAGCATTTTTACTGTCCTGAAAAGGCGATGTCAGACACAAATAAAAAAATTAATTTACAAATTTAAAAAAATACATATCATTGTAAAACCAATACATATTAATTGCACTGCTTAGAATCTAAAACATAAAATTGTAAAATCAATTCAATCATCGCTCCACTCAGAATCTAAAAAATAATTGAACAGCCATTTTAATTTGGTTATTTGGATTATTTAGTTCAGTACAAGTATCTGATTGTTCAATTAAAAATGTGTCAGTAGTTATTTATAAGGGGTTGCGGACCCATCGCCGTGGCTTTGGTACATTAGAAAAATCGTAGCCCCCCAACTTCTTCAATGGACTTCCACCTACGGCTTATACACCAGATAATAAAACTCTCAATGAGACTTTTAGTGAGATCTTAAAATAATATAATACAATAGATAATTTTAAAATTTAGTTAGTTACATAAAATAATAAATAGTACATTACAAATACGTAAATAAATAATTACTCGGACAAAACTGGGTTACTCAACTAGTTAATTAATTTATAAAGCGTGAACCGCGGTACAGGGGTTCAAATACACCATTGAAATTCTTTAAAAAAAAAAACGGAAAATGTTAGAAGTACCTAAATTTATTATTGACTATATTGTATCAAAAATTGTTTTATATTTATGTTAAAATATTTTTTTTAAAAACTTGCTTCCACACCATCGAAAATTGTTATCTAATCGTGGCTTTGTTTACCTAATCAATTGTTATTGATATTCAATACTCCTTTTGTTATTTGAAATGTAACATATTAACTGGGTAGTGCAGGGTATGGCACTTATAAATTGTACATACAGATATTTGTATAGTGTCTCATGAAGAATACATATTTACGCCGAACCTACACGATAACGGATGGATCTCTCCTAATTACGCCAATATCCGAAACGGTAAAAAAATTAGTTAATCGTTGTAAATAACTTCTCGTGTTTGACCATTAGCAAAACTTGATTAAGTCCTATTATTACAACAAATCTAAAATTGGGATTACAAATTATTTCTATTAAATTATGTACCTACCTACCTAACCTACCTTGTTTTTATTTATATGGTCAATATATGTATATATATATGTATAGAGATATATATACTTACTTATATTTAGACTTTGACTCTTCTGTATAAACATATACTAATAAGCAGTGTTGGGTAAGTTACTTTACTCGATACTCTAATACAATTTAAATGAAATTTCTTTACTTTTCAAATATTAAAATAACTATGTGACTTTCTCGTGGACCGTCACCGAAAACAGTAACATTTAACCTATATGGCTATTGGCTATATATACAAATAAAATCATAATAATTATTCATAAATAAAAATAAACAGCTTTTTATAATAATAGGTTTATAACTATATAGTAATTTATGACCCAGCAATGTTAATATTTTGATTTATCATTTATTAGAACATACTATCATCATATACCTACATACTATCTTTTGTTGAACAGCTCTAAATTCTTAACAATATATAAAAAAAAATAACATTTATAAAGAAAAAATAATTGTATAATAATATTCTATATTTAATGTTTATGTGACTACTTAATTGATTATAAATACTATAATCAATACTACTATAAATAATAATGTGTAATTTAATTAATTTTACTCGTAATTTACGGTACAAGTAGACATATCAAACTCATTGAAAAATGAATTGGGGCGAGTTAAAATTAAATATATATCTGCATATTATATTATTAGTATTTAAAATTTTTAATACTCACATTAAACATACTACCTATTTATAGACATATTTTATAATATTCTTATAATTTTTTTGCAATAGGTAGATACTAAGCACGTCAAAACTGTAACGCATTATACATTAGAAATTATTTGCTAAAATTAATTTTCATTACATTTTTGTTACATGGAAATAAGTCTAATGAAATTATGTAACTAGCTACAAACAAAGTAAAGCCATTGCAATAACTCGATACTTTCGTTATGTTACTACAATACTACCCAACACTGCTAATAACTAATAAGCAAATTTAAGCAAGTTAATGAAAATAATCAAGTGTGGCTAGTCATGTTAATTCAATTAAATTTCCTTCAATTAACTTAAAAATTAAGAAAAATAAATTTAACTAGAT